CTTGAACCAAACATACAACCAGTATTCTTTCTTCAGTCATCGAAGTCACTATGCATTCTCTGTTGAAAATGAACAATATTGGCTGCTGAGTAATATTGTCTCCTACAGAGAGGGATAACGCTAACAAAAGTATACGAGGCTGATGGGGTTAGATTTAGGGGATGCTGTTCCGTTTGCCACTGTTAAGGTGCAAAAAAAGAGGAAAACAGTGATCCTTGAGGATGTGGAAGATCTTTAACTGATACCACACAATTGGGATACGATGATATGTGTCAACTAAGTCAATGAGTCTGGCCAACCGATCCCGTTAGTCGCCTATTACCACCAGCGTAGGTTGCTGAAGATCAATTCTTACTCGGATCTTCACGGGTGAAATCAAACAACCTATTCACTGCTAATGCTGACGAAGGTTAGGATTAAAGCCGATTGAATGCCGATATTGTGCAGCTGATGCCGCACAGACACTACTCTCAGCCTTATCAACTGTTACTTGAATCGACGTAGGCGGTTCGACAGTGTTATTGATTTTGAGGGAAATGGCGTTTTAAGTGGATGGTCGCACACTGTTGAACGAACAGTCACATCACGACAATTTCTGTTTTTCCGCCATCCTCTTTCGAATGGCGCATGTTACAACAATTAATTAGAAAATATTAAAAAATTATTTAAGGCAGTGAGCGAACGAATTCCCAGAATCTTCTTGAAACACGATACCGTTTTGGGGGAAACGAAATCGTGTCTGAGGTGCAACGAACGAAAACTTTAACCACAATTCTAACCATTCTCTGTTTACGATTTATTTGAACACTACACTCGAGTCTGCCAGATTTTTATACGGAGCTGGATAATAGTTTCATCATGGTGCATACGCCAAAACAGTTATGATTTCATCTTGATTTCAAACATACCCACACGTACAGACAGAAACACAGACAGACACAGACAGACAGACAGACAGACAGACAGACAGACAGCCAAAGCCACGCTCAGCGGTATTTTATCACTGAGATCAACACGAATGAGTGAGTATGGTTTTACGAAGCTTTTAGCAATATTCCACACACCAGAAATGAGCTTCACACATCGTAGCCATCTGGGGAGTCGAACCTGAGTCTTCAGCTTGACGAACGGACGCTTTCTACCACGAGGCTACCCGAGACCAACATGAAGGCGCCCTGTATATAAGCAGGTCTGAACCTGTGATTGATATCATGAACAACACATGCGTTATCTGGGTACACACAATACCTGAATGAGTGTCAATTAGATCTCTTAAATGACTAGTATGTGTTGCTGGGGACTTCTTAAGAAAGATATCCCAATATGGAAATAGTTCTATCATGAAACCGCACGTCAGGAACACACAACCACACATACAGTCACGTCCATGCAAGAACTCAATATTACGTGATTTCCCCCAACATAATATATTGACCAAGATTTTCTTTATCTATCCAGCTGTTGTTTTGACATATAACAAGTTAGTCACGACACACGTAAAAAAATCCGTGCAAGGATCGGATCAATACATCATGACGTAGCCCATAGCGATTTTTTTATGTTAGTATGTTTGCGTACAACAAGTGAACGTTTGAACAAAACCACTTCGGTAATCTTGAAACAGGGGCAAGGCACGGATTACCACTGAGTGGGTTTAGTTTTACGCCGCCTTTAGCAATATTCCAGCAATATCGGCGGGGGACACCAGTGTACTGATGTAGGGAAATCGAACCCAGGGCTTCGGCGTGACGAGCGAACGCTTTAACCACTGGGCGGATAACCTATGATCTTGGGTTCGAATCCGGTTTTGTCATAATTACGTTTAGGTTTGTCAGCACCGGCAGCACTCGCGCTTGGTTTCACCACTTCTATAATCGTGATGATCTGGGTTAGAATTGATCTTCAGCAACCCATGCTTGTCGTAAGAGGCGACTAACGGAATCGGGTGGTCAGGGTCGCTGACTTGGTTGACATATGTCATCGGTTCCCAATTGCGCAGCGATGCTCATGCTGTTTATCACTGGATTGTCTGGATCAGACTCGATTATTTACAGACCGCTGTCATAGAGCTAGAATATTGCTGAGTGCGGCCTAAAACTAAACTCACTTACTCACTCACTCATAGGATTTGTTCTTTCATATGTACTATCAAATATGTGTATATATTTCTTATTTCCAAGAACTTACAGGTGGGCATACCATCCTTATATTAGTGTTTGTGCCCAGTATTAAAATGCAGGCACTTTGAGGAGCAGCCTATAAGTGACGTCATCGTAAAAAACACATACTTTCACTTATTGATTCAATCACGAATCGAAACATTCTAATGAATATTATAAACTAGGTAATAGTACATATGTAATGTGATGGGCTTCGGGGAAATTAAACTTTCCATTGTTGATATAAATACTTCAGAATCAATAACGTAGCTTTGATGGTTGATGGAGTTATTTTGAACTTTCTTGTCATTTTACGTTGAATAAATAGCATAAGTCCAATCGCAGCTTTGTCAAGCAAAAATGAAATATTTCTTTACCGCTCTGGTAATAGCGTGCTGCTGTTGTGATTTTCCTTCTCCTGGCCGCCAGTATTAAATCGAATGTTGTGCTAATGTTTCTGAATTTGCAATTCAGTTTCTGAATTTGCAACAGTTGTATGCATGTTGCGCTTCACACCTCGTTGCCATGGTGTCTTTTCTTCAGTATGTATGTTATAATTCACGCTCACACCTCTTCTCTTCACAGGGGCGGTGGAGTAGCCTAGTGGTTCAGGCGTTCGCTCGTCACGCTGAAGACCCCGGTTCGATTCCCCACATGGGCACTATCTGTGAAGCCCATTTCTGGTGTCTCCCGCCGTGATATTGCTGGAATATTGCTAAAAGCGGCGTTAAACCAAACTCACTCACTCATTCACTTCTCTTCACAGTTTCATTCGTTAACACCTGGAAGGAAATGGGTCTTATTCTACTCTATATTAGGTATTCAAACCTTGACGAAAAACACTATAATATGGTCATGGTGTTACGTGGAACTGGACGCGACATGCAGGTCACAAGTCTGGGGAGGTTAAGCAAGTGGGTCGCGGAGATTATTGTGATGGGTTTATTAGGAGATTATTGACGCCAGAGAGTTTTGGTACTGCCGTGCAATGCCTTGCAGCACATGTGGTGTGTCCACGAGTGACTGTTCGAAATATGCACTTGTCCCACAGTAAATGGGTACCCGGTGGGAAGAGATTTCGAGACTTATGTTCCAGCGCCTCACAGGCAGCTCGGGTTGTGGGAACTGAGGAAAAAATATCGAGTGCATTCATTGACAGGGTTAATAACAGTTTGTTTGAGCATATCTGACATTAGTCTGTATCACAGTCCCTGAACCAAATTATTTTCCCTACTGCCTAGCCCTCCCTGCAATGCTAAAGCCCGAAATGAAGCAATTCTAGATTTCCCCAGGTTCAGGAATCTCCCTAACTGGGGATCCTTTTCAATTTAAATGAGTTTATTTGTTGCTATCAAAATTATATATATTCAGGGACTAAGCGTTAATCTAATCTAACATGGCCAAAACCACAATAGAAGTTTCTAATATGATCTCATGATGGATGACTGTGTTTGAATTATATAAAAAGAGGTTTTTGCTTGTAATTCAAATCTTATTATACATATCCACCAAGCAGCAACTAAAACATGTTTTGCACTGAGAAAATGGTTCGGTTACAAAGCGGCATCTCGACCTTGACCTAGCAACCTCTTTAATGGGGTTATTAAACTTAATTAAACAAAACATTTAAATGAAAAGTTACTTTATTCAATGTTGAAATCATTTCCTCAATAAAGGTTGAAAGTCAAACGAAGTCATAATAAATTAAGCACTTAAACATACGTGGAACTATTGTCCAGTACTCAGATATGGTCGATAGTTCGATACGATATGGGACGATTCGATTTCGATACGATTCGGTAGACGATAGCTTAGATTATAAATATCATATATGTAGAGTAGGTTAGTATCCACTTCGAAGATGAAAGTAATTTCTATGTAGATGAAAGCATCTTTCTTGTCCTGTCAGTATCATCTCCGTTGATGGTGACATGTTTTCAGGCTGTGGCACCAATAATAACCTTCTATATCAAACCGGCATATATGTTATCCAGTAATACTGATAGGCATATAAAAGTCATCTTCCCTGTCCAGAATAAGTTTTTCATGCAGCAAGAGTATCAAGCAACATACCTTAGATCTGTGATGACCAAAGATTGAGAAATGTTATCGAGGTGAAGGATTTTACGGATGAATCATTTGTACTGAAGCTACCGTAAAATATGATAATTGGCCACTTATTAGATGGCTTTGTGACTGTGATAGACTTTAACCAAGGCATTAACTGTCGAAGCTTTATGATATTCTATGCGGTTATAATGACATCTTTAAGGAGTTCGTTGCCACACCAAGAACACTGGTGAAGATAAAGACATTCGTCTTCTACAGCCATGACAAGTGAAGATCCGGGTTAGAATTGATCTTCAGCAACTCAAGATTGTCGTAAGAGTCGACTAACGGGATCGGGTTGTCAGGCTCGCTGACTTGGTTGACACGTGTCATCGTATCCCAATTGCGTATCTGGGCAAAGATTTTCGAAGCTCTCTTAGCGCTAAGATAGTCGTCAGTTAATGTTAATGTATGGCACTCACGACTATCTTAGCGCTAAGAGAGCTTCGAAAATCTAGGCCCTGGTCTGGACTAGATTAATTACAGACCTCCGCCATATAGCTGGCGAAGTGCGGCGCTAAACAACCAACCTATAAACGTGTAACATAAATATATTCTTTTATTGACTGGTATGTTGTTCCACCCCAGGGAGTTTCAGCAAGGGAGCTACTAATCTGACATTATAAGGTACAGTTTTCCCCGAAATTATTGAGAAAATCTAATCTATTAGTTTCCAAATACTGATAATAATTTTTTAAACCAAGCGTTACATTATGTCGTGAGGTACTCAATATGGGAGGTAACTCTTGTAGGCTTAAGAATGAACCTTACTCTATCAAGAGTTATCTCCCCTGGTGTACAGGTGGCTTCCTTTGTTGACATGGCCGGTTTGACAGCAGAAAAATGGGTTCTAGATGATTTTGAAAGGGGTGCGACTAACGCAAAAAGAGTTAGCTGGTAGACATGACATTCCTCTGTCTACAGTATACAGAACTTTGAAGAATATTCAGTCAGGAGTTGGGAATGAGCATAAGACAGCGGGAGGTAGGTCAAGGAAGTTCAGTACTACGGATCGCCGGCGACTAAGACATGACGACCAGACGTGTAGAAAGCATTGATATTACAACTAATTATTGACGAACACTTTGTTAACATATAATATTCAAACAGTTTATGTTGAAAAACTTGAAAAGATGGCATAATGTTGTTAAACTTATTTCGAAAAATTAGTTCCTTGAAGAGAATTAAGATTATATTGATTGGATCATCGTTTTTATTTGGGTAACCAAGCATTACATGTTTCTTTTCAATTTTGAGTTGTATTTGTGCTTTAGCATGTAGCCAGTTCTCAAGTTTTTTCCATAAATGGTTTACCTTGCTGCAAGGCCAGAATAAGTGGATAGTTGTTTCTATATCTTCGGAGCAAAAACTGCAATTAGTAGTGTCTTTATATCCTATCATTTCTAAAAAATGTTTGTTGGCAAGATATGGTGTAAAAGTCAGTATTGGAACCATTGTAATCTAGTATCTTTCGTACATCTTAAGGGAATAGTATTGTAAAGTGGCCAATCATTAGATATGATGTCGTCGTATAAAATGTTTAGTTCCCATTTCGATGCATGTTGGTTTTTTAAACCTAGACCTGAAATTAGAGTTTTGTACAAGTATTGCATCCCTTTTACATTCTTACAGAGATGTTGCATATATCGGGGTAGAACAGGGTTTGGTTTGGGTGTTATTGTTTTTAAATTAGAAGATAAAGCTACTCTGTTTTCAATTTGGCGGTCCTTTATCGTTGATTTAAGACCGCTAAATGTAATTTAAAAACCGAAGCGTTAGCGTGAGGTTTTAAATTAAACATTTAGCGGTCTTAAATCAACTATAAAGGACCGCAAAATTGAAAACAGAGTAGCTTTATCTTCATTCTAGCACGACTGATAAGCGTTTTAAAACCGAAATGTTTGGCGCGCAAGAACACAAGGCGCAAAGGGGCCTTTTTCCTGGAAATCGCTTGGAATCGTCCCGTTGAGGGACAGGTTGTGTAATGAACAAAATAAGACATTTCCAACAACATAAATGCTTTATTTCAGGAACCAGTATGCTTGTATTTGTAACAAGTAGCATACATAAATAATAAAAAATACAGTTTATACTGTGAGCAAGTACAATTATTTGCTTTTTCTCAAGCGAAGCATTGATCTCCCCTACTGTATGACAATCGACTCGCCAAAATGCAAGCCGTGAACTCGCTAAGTTTAGTCGCCGCTAACTTTATTCACGGAAATAATTGTTGATAACCACCCTACTATTCCCAATTTGGAAAGTACCTGACATGCCACGTTTTATGTGGGATACATGGACAGTGGAAGTGGAAGGACTGGGCATTACGGCCGGGACGTAAGCGGTCAGGTTAGGACGTGTGGGCCGACGTGTGTTGTCGACGTCAAAACACGTAGATCTGGACCCGCTTTGAATATACTGCCGCTTTTGCGCTGCTGACGGATTTTCCAGCTTCGTAGTTACTTCACTGGGATTAAGGTCAAGAAATTCTTCTTCAAACTATTCGCTTTTTACTTCAAAAACACCAAAGATGCTGCCGAGATAGAAATTGCCGATGTCCGACATGTTTGTTTACAAACAATAGGGTCAACGAGTTCGTTGTATTCATACGCGGTGAATCGGTCACTTTAATTAGCGGTCCTTAAACTGTCATTTAAACGTCACATGCAACCAAAAAAATCAAACATAATTAAAACACAATTATCACTTATTCATGACATATAATATACATTGCTGGTTATGAAAAAACATATAAACTAAATTATAAGCGTACAATCGCAAATCAAAAGTGCAATATTGTGTACTTGGGTTTACTTCCCAAGAAACGAAGCAGCCGGGATACCGAACCCAGTCAGAGCGGGTGGGTGTGCACTCAAGTGTAACGGCTGGTTCATTTGCAGATGCCCTCAGGGCTCATTGTGTGTGTATAGAGATGTTGGGTTTTGTAAATACATGCTCATTTTTTTGTGTATAACATTTTGCAATCAACAGACATCATAACATGTCATGTGTTCAAGTATCACACCTGCCTGTCTGTGTAATTACATAATGTGACAGAGACCGAACTCGGGCCATAAATCAATGCAATTTGTTTATGGTGTATAGCCTGATTGGTGTTAAGTTCAAATTGCATGTGGTCAGTGATCGAAGTTGTGTATTGAATATTGTCATTAGCAGACAGGCAGGCAGACACATAGGTGTCAATAAAACAAGACATTGAGTTTTGTCTGTGACAACGACATATCTATATCACAGTTAGAAATTCTGTCAACGCTAAATAATGACATTGTTTTTAAGTATCGAGCTGAGAAAGTGACTCGGTAAGAAGAACGTGTGGTGAAATAGACAAATGAAATTATATAAACAGTTAATTTACTGTCATAACATATAAAAAGCTCGCGCCTGTGAGATATCAACAAAACATTAGAAAAATAGCTCACACCAAAGCCTTCACCGAGTATTCACCGGACAACCCGCTTCCAAGTTGCGCGAACCTATTTCACTGTGCACGTGCTATGAGCGCAGCCCAGCTGTTGGAACCACTTGAATTCCCCCCAAACGCTGGGGGGAAATTAGTGAATCGTTTGAACTACGATTTCGCGCGGTTTTTTTCATCGCGTTATTTTTCAACTTTATAAGTTGAATTTGCATTTTTGATGATTTATTTCGGTAAGTTCATACCATTGACTATGGTTATGACCCAGAACTTGATTGTACGTATACTGATGACTCAGCCACTGAAGCATATGAAGAGCCACAACCGAAAAGGGCCAAATCAAGTGATTTGTTATCACAGTTGTGTGACAGTGGACCCTCCACGACCGAATCTCCCAAACCATCTTCCTCCAAGTCCAAGCCTGACGATGAATTTTTTCAAGAAATACATGAACAGCTTATGGACAAGGAGAGAACCTCTGAGCCAGTCAATACTCTGTTAGCGGGAATTGTGGATGACTTAATGTTCAAAACCAGTCGTCCTGATGACTCAAAAGTAAAAGAAAAAATGGAAGCGACTTTGACTTTGAGGCCAGTCAACTGTGCTTCCCTTGTGCCTACAAGGGTAGATGAACTGATATGGACCCTAATGAAACCAAATACCCAGACAGTTGACAAAAAACTGCAGAAAACACAGGCAATGATTGTAAAAACTGTATGTATTTTGACTAAGGTCATTGACAATTTGTATACACTGAAAGATGAAGTGAATGCTAGTGTAGTCCCCAAATTGTAGAGATCATGAGGGATGGCATTTCTGCAATCGAAATGGCTAGCATTGCAAACTGTGACCTAAATATCCGTCGCCGGGATTTGATCAAGCCAGATGTACACACCAGCTATATGCCGCTGTTCTCATCCACAATTCCAGTTAATGCCTACCTCTTCGGCGGTGAAGCACCTAAACGCCTGGATGACATTGAAAAATCCAACATGGCAGTTGCTAAGGCTCGTCCATACCAGAGTGGTTGTTTTCGAGATTTTAAACCAGGTCGCAGTGCATATAGTGACTGAGTCCTGGAAGTAGGGGATCTTTTTTAGGCCGGGTCCAGACTCCCTAACAGAACAAGAGACGGAGCCAGTAACTGAAGTAAGTGTTGCATGTGGGTCTCATGTGACTGTTAATATCCTCCCACCCTCTGTTTTCTTTGCTGGCAGGACCAGGTTGTTTTTGGCTAACTGGGAAATGCTCACCTCAGACCCCTCTGTATTAGACACTGTTGTTGGCTTTCACATTGACATTCCGGCTCCATGTGACTTAACTTTACCTTCTCCCAGGGTTATAAAGGTTAACAGTCAGGAAGAACTGTTTATCAATCAGGAAATTAACAGTCTGCTTCAGAAAGGTGTCATCTCTGTGACTGCACACGGTGAGGGAGAATGCATGTCTTCCATCTTTACGAGACCTAAGAGAGACGGCTCTTATAGAATCATTCTGAACCTGAAATAATTTAATAGAAATGTTATCTATGAACATTTTAAGATGGAATCTTTAAATTCAGCCGTAAGGCTTATGAAACCCAACTGTTTTATGGCCAGCATTGACTTGAAGGATGCATATTATTCAGTCCCTATTGCCCAAGAACATCGGAAATATCTGAGGTTCATTTGGAAAGGTAATTTACATGAATATACCTGCTTTCCCAATGGTTTAGCTTGTGCACCCAAGAAATTCACAAAAACTGTTGAAACCAGTCTATGCCTCTCTCAGACAGCTTGGCTGTAAAATCGTTCCTTATTTGGATGATTCTTACCTACAAGGGGATGACAAATTAGAATGCAGTCACACTTTGAAAGCAACTGTTCTGCAGTTGCAAGATTTAGGATTTGTTATCAATTTGGACAAATCTCAGCTTGAACCAAACAAACAGCTGGAATTTTTGGGGATTTCTCTTGAATTCACAAACTATGACTGTGAGACTTACTCCTCAGAAAACTCAGAAAGTTAAAGCTTCATGTTTAGCTCTGATTGGAAAACACTATGCTCAGATTCAGGAAGTGGCCCAGCTCCTGGGGATTTTAGTTAGTAGTTTTCCGGCTGTGTTACTTGGACCCCTCTACTATCGAACACTTGAAAATGACAAAATTGATGCATTGAAAAGGAAAAACACTTCAATGAGCTTACTTTTAGCCGTAATTTTAGCTCTTCAGGCATTAGGTTCTGACATATCAAAAACTGCCATGTCCGACTTCATGTTGACAATGCTACTGCGGTGGCTTACATTAATGCTATGCATGCGTGCGTGCGTGCGTGCGTGCGTGCGTGCGTGCGAAGTCCAGAAATTGCAACTCCCTTGTTAAAAAACTGTGGGTCTGGGCCTGTGAGAGAAACATTTGGCTGAGTGCAAATCACATCGCAGGTTAAAAAAATGTTGTTGCTCATAAGGAGTCAAGGTTATTTGATGACAAGACAGAGTGGATGCTTAATCAGTCTGTGTTTGAACAATTGTTACAACTGTGGGGCAGCCCTAATATTGATCTTTTTGCTTCAAGGCTGAATGCACAGCTTAGTTGTTACTCCCTTGGAGACCAGACCCTGGAGCAGTTTATTGTGATGCTTTAAGCAAACCATGGAACACTTCTTACTGTTATCTGTTCCCTCCTTTCAGTGTCATCAGCCTGTGTCTTCAGAAAATAGAAAGAGAGGGAGTAACAGCACTGATAATAGTCAGGACTGGCCGACACAGCATTGGTATGCCATATTGATGGGATTGTTAGTAGACCACCCTCGCCGGTTGCCTCGTCGAATGGATCTGTTGACACTTCCTCACAACTCAGAACTCCATCCTCTCAGGAAGAAAATGACACTGCTGGCTTGCTTCTTGTCCGGAAAGCAATGGAGATCAGAGGAATACCGGAGGACGCTCACCCCATCATCCTTTCCTCGTGGCGGAAGTCTTCTCAAAAACAGTATCAAGTCTTCCTTCAGAAGTGGGAAGTGTGCTGTGATAAAAGGAAAGTTAATCCCCTTTGTGCCTCTGTGAATACTTTGTTGGAGTTTTTGACTGAACTTTTCAGCAAGGGATATGGATATAGTTTCGTCTGTCCTAGCCTTAAATAGTGACATTAACTTTGGCAACCATCCCCTGATAACACGCTTTATGCGTGGAGTCTATCAGAGAAGACCAACTCGATCCCGATATTCAAGTGTTTGGGATGTATCATTGGTGTTACGATACATAGAAGGTATGGGAGACACACCAGGCCTGTCACTGAGAGATTTGACATTCAAATTGACAGTTACTTGCTCTGACTACAGCTCAACGGCTGCAATCACTTAAACTGTTAGACATCTCCCTTATGGAGAAATCTAGTACTATAATAGTCTTCAGATAAGATAAATTAAACCAGTCTCGCCCTGCTCAGAACAACTTGTTTGTTGAAATTGCTGTTTATCCTAGAAATGTTAGATTGAGTGTTTTTACAACCTTGTGCTTGTATCTTGATGCCACTTCAACTCTCAGAGGGGATACCACTCAACTCTTGATTAGTTACCAGTCCCCACATAAACAGGTATCCACCGATACCATTGGTAGATGGATTAAGACTGTGATGCAACAGTCTGGGGTTGATGTGCAGACTTTTGGTGCCAATAGTACTAGAGCAGCATCTACCTCGGCTGCCCAAACTTCTCATGTGCCAATTGCTGACATTTTAAAGACAGCAGGCTGGTCCTCAGCTCAGACTTTTGCCACTCATTATAGTTTGCCAGTACTTCATGACAATCCCTTCTCGACCAAGGTGCTAGACCAATACAGTGATTAGTTGCCTAGATATTACCTCATTCCATGTGCTGAATGTGTTTGCAAATGTTGAATCCCAGTGCATAATGTTTCTGATTGTGATCATAAGATAGTTGAATATGCAGATGTATGCTTGGTCTCAGGAAAGTTTTGATTGCATTAAAATACACATAGATATAGTATCCTTCAATTGAGTTTGTTGCTTCTTGGATCTGTGCCATTAATGGCTTTGAAATCTCAAGGGAACCGGAAGCATTCGTGACGTAGCAGAATACTTAAATTAAACGAAACTTACCTGGAAGTTGAAGTTTGATTGTAGTTCTGCTACGTCACTGGAATACTGGAGGTTTACTTGCCCTCCGCACCCTCCCATACATGCACTGAGCATATGTCTATGTCTGGTGTCATAATGGCACAGATGCTTTAAAGACTGACCCTAGATCGCTCTGCGCAATCTCAAGTAAACCTCCAGCATTCCAGTGACGTAGCAGAACTACAATCAAACTTCAACGTCCAGGTAAGTCTCGTTTAATTTAAGTATTATTCCGGGACAAGCCGAATAGCGACTCGTGCCCCTCTGGAAGGATTTCATATTGGCGCATGAACATCAGAACTACTTTAAACAAGAACGATAACTCTATCCGAAGCACATGTACATTGTATTGCTAGGTTGTTGTTTTTTTGGGTTTGTTTACTTATTTATTTTAAAGACTTAAACCTCTCTGAAACAACTAAAAGAAGGAGAAAAACATATTTGTAAAAGACATATTCTAATGTAATTATTACCAGCTGTTAACCTTATATTTCCAATTAGGGTTTACTAATCACAAATGGGAATTGTTTTATTGAATATGAATGTTTTACTGAACATTCGTGTAATCTTGCTGTCATACTCCTGGTGGAATTTTAAATGAATTCGCTGAAAAAAAATATGAATGACCAAAAAAATAGTCAGACTAAAATATCCCCACAGATGTGAAATATAAGCCCAATGTTTGAGATTAAAGTTGATTAGTTACATACAAATATTATATCATTGTTTTGAAACTCGTAGCGATTTATAATTACATTTCCTGAAATTGTTGGAAGCGCACGTACAATCTCCATAACACACTCAGTTGGACCCATGGGAGCCGTTATGTCAACAAACGCACGTGCGTGTGTTTGAATCTCTCACCGTCAATCGCATGATTTTTATTAAAAAACTTCATAATTGGCAGCAAAATCCTGTTAGCTACTTTCTTTGTACTTTCAATATGGCAATATATATTTTTCTAGATTTTTTAAATAATGACATAATGCCATAAACGATTTAAGTACTCGGGATTATATTTATCAAAGCACCGCGGTCATTCACGCGCGTTTTGATTGGTTTGTCGTATTTTCGCACATAACAAGCATCGAGAGGGGGACGAGTCTTCTTGGAGTTTACGGAAAGGGGCGAGTGGTAACGAATGCACATGGACGAGAGCGCTAGCATTCGTCACCACTCGTTCCTCTCCGTAAAGCGCAAGCATTCGTGACAGACATTCGTCCCGGAATAACACGAGTTGGTCACGAATGTCGTGACAGAGTCATGCTATTCCGATAAAAGCCGAATGGCGACTCGTGTCCCTCTTGTGGCTAACTTTCATTCGTGATCAACTTGTATTTTTCCCGGACAAGCCGAATTGCGACTGTGCCCCTCGGGAAGGATTTCATACCTCGTCCCTTTCCGTAACCTCCAACCCTCCCCTTCTCGATGAATGTTATATGCGAAAATACGACAAACCAATCAGGATACGCGTAATGATTGTGGTACTTATATAAAAATAATCCAGAGTACTTAAATCGTTTTTGGCTTTATGTCATTGTTTAAAAATACATGAAAAATATACATATTAATCATATTGAAAGTACAAAAAAACATAGCTAACCACATTTTGCTGCCTCATGTGAAGTTTTTAACAAAAGCAGGGTCATGAACAGTGAAAGATTCAAATACACGTACGTGCGTGTGTTTACATTACGACTCTCATGGGCCCAATTGAATCTATTTCTGACGAACTTTCTGGCTTGTTTTGGTGGTTGTACGCGCGCTTTCGGACGTTTTTGTGAATTATGTATCGCTATGAGTTTCAAAACAATATATTCATGTTTATCTCATCAACTGTTATCTTTAACATTGGGCTTACATGTCACATCTCTGGGGGATACTTTAATCTGACTTTTTCTAGGGTGAGTAATATCTTTTTCTGCATATTCATAAAAACAAACCCCATTTGTCACTCTTAAACCCTATTTAGAAATACGCATTTGGAAATACAAGGGTGCTTTTTAGTTATTCCTCAAGGATTCTTTGACCAAATAAAGCATTGTGGATGGTCGACCGGTTACGAGTCATCTTGAAGGTTACGGAAAGTGGTAACGGACGACACGCATTAAGATATTCAACTTGTGGCGTAAGGTCACGAGTGACCCGGAATGTTAGTCCAGTTTGTAAGAAACAACATCAGATACGTGGGTATTTCTTAACACTGTAAGTATTTGTAAAGACAGACTGATAACGTATTATTAACAACGTGTCCCTTAATAGGGTACTGACAGTTCAAAGTTCACTGTACGCAGAAAAAAGTGACACCATGTCGTCTGGTACTAGCTCTTGTTAGTTGTTTAACGCCGCACTCAGCAGTATTCCAGCTATATGGCGGTGGTTTGTAAATAATAGAGTCTGGACCAGACAATCCGGTGATCAATGTCATGAGCATCGATGTACACAATTGGGATAAAATGACATATTGTCAACCAAGTCAGCGAGCCTGACCATCCGATCCCGTCCTCTTACGACAAGCATGGGTTACTGAAGACCAATTCTTACCGGACCTTCAATGGCGGAACTAGTTCTTGAGGGCTTTGAGTACACCTGTGGCATCTCTGCTCCGGAAAAGTGATGAAACAGCAAAACAACAATAGTATTCCCAATACTACAGCAAACACATGCTCTGATGTATGTATGTATGTACAGTGACATGTATGTATGTATGTATGTACACATGTATGTATCCAGCTGTATGTATGTAGGAGGTATGTATACTGTATTTCTGTTTGTAATATTTTAATTATCAAATATGTATGCCTACGTATGTAATAGCTGATTTGTAATTCCCCGTTATTGTATGTTGTGTGTGTGTTATGTATGTATGTGTGTGTGTATGTGTGTGTGTATGTATGTGTGTGTGTGTATGTATGTATGTATGTATGTATGTATGTGTATGTATGTATGTATGTATGTATGTATGTATGTGTGTGTGTGTGTATGTCTGTCTGTCTGTATGTATGTATGTGTATGTATGTGTATATGTTTGTATGTATGTATGTATGTATGTATGTATGTGTATGTATGTATGTATGTATGTGTGTATGTATGTATGTTGTGTGTGTATGTATGTATGTATGTATGTATGTATGTTATATGTATGTATGTATGTATATGTATGTATGTATGTATGTATGTATGTATGTATGTATGTATGTATGTATGTATGTATGTATGTATGTGTGTATGTATGTATGCGTGTCTGTGTGTGTATGTGTGTGTGTGTATGTATGTATGTATGTATGTATGCGTGTCTATGTGTGTGTGTGCGTGCGTGCGTGCGTGCGTGCGTGCGTGCGTACGTATGTAACGGCCGGCAATGCCATATGGGTTTTCGGTTAACAAGGAAGCTAAGTACGTATCAACAGGACCACACGGTTTCTAAAATATCATCACCGCGTGTGAATGTGCATTCTTTTTCCATGATGGATTGCGGACACCAAATATGTTTACACGCCAGTGATCATTTATTGTTGTGTGTGTTCCATTCAGAGCCATGAACTACTGACCTGGTCAGTGGACCGGCCCTTAAGCCGCAGAGCAGGTCACCCCTGGCAATGACAAAGGTATGGAACCATTCAGTCGTTCAATTCACAAGGGTAGGTTGTGTTTTGGACAGACGATTCTCCTGAAATTTCTCAAAAGCGAAAAAATTTCAGTGTTACACTTGTCTTTTATTGCTACCTAAGAAACACAAAGAGGGACATATGTATATGTAAACTATACGAGTTTAGACGAGGTAAGTAACCGTTGTTATCATCCGTATGTGATTACTATTTGCGAACGTATGCACCCATATTTGCTGCAGCCCCAAAAGAAACAAAATAGAAATAGTTGTTCCATGGTTATGCATTTGATAAGGGTGACAGTTGTGTTTTGGAGTGTTTTTTCTGATACGGGTATCCTGTGTTTTGGTGCTTGAGTTTTCTGTGTTTAGGCGATTGTTTTGTTAGTTGTTTGTTTGAGAGATTTGGTCTTCATGGTGAATGATCGGGTTTGTATCAGTGTGTATCACATTTATACTGCATATAGTTTACAAACACAAAAGAAGGAGTGACGCAACTGTGCACGCACAGCGAATTGCCGCGCCACAGGCGACCATGCCACCCCTGCTAACACCACCCCACCCTCCCCCCATATATTATTTAGATTTTTTGTTCTCAAAAGGCATTACAATTAGAGCTCATATTATAAGTAAACTGACGTACAAAAAAAATACATTGTGCTTCTTCACTGTAAATATTGCCCAGAAATGGTATTCAAGCGTCCCGGTCCTGGAGTGACATAGTCGACGTTGAAGGGTCACTGACTTGTCCCGGAATAATCGAAATCCCGGATAATTTTGCACGAAATCACGATTTTCATGCTATTCCAGGCACAGTATTATAATTCACAATAAAAACACTTTTCAGAATCTCAAAGCACATCCACATTTTCTAAATCGTATTAAACATCAGTACTTTCTCCAACAGTAAACACATTTCTACTTTCTCCCTTTCTAAACACAACCCTACGTTGTCCATCTTTATACGCATCTCCACTTGCTTCAACTGGAAACATTGCTCTACTTTCTCCAATTTATAGACATTCCTATGTTCTCCATTTAAAACATCCCCACGTTACACTAACCTAAAACATATCCATACTTTCTCCAAATGAAAACACATTTCACATTCTCGAACTAAAACATATCCCTACTTTTCCCCAAATATTAACACATGACCACATTCTTGAACTAAAAACACATATCTGCTTTCTCGAACTAAACACTCATCCAAACTTTCTCCAGCTAAAATACATTCCTACTTTCTCCAACTTAAAACACCCCCCAACTTTCTCCATCTGAAAACACGTCTCTTCATTCTCGAACTAAAAAATACATTCCTACTTTCTGCAACTTAGAACACAACCCTAGATGAACTTTTTTCAACCAAAACACATCCCCATTTCTCCAACCTAAAACACTCATACTGCATGCTTACTGTCTCAGAAATATTGATGACCATGATGTGTGTACACCAAGCGAGTAGGGCGTCAAACTCGGACTCTTTCAAATTGCGATAGTTAATCTTTCATGGCTCGTGACAAATAAACTGTAGAATTAATTAAAATTGGGATGTCCTAACCATTTTTGAGCAGTGTACAGTAACCTACGGTTATAACGACCCCAAAGGACCGCCAGTGTCAGTTCGTTACAACCGTTGTTCGTAATAAGCATTTCGACTATAATATACAGCCTATGGTCGGGACAGAGAAGTTCGTTACAAGCGCAGTTTATTCTAGCAGCCGGTCTGTAAATACTTGTGAACGAACTCATTTCGTATTTGTGTTTAGCTATACTGGATAGGATATATGACATCAGACTCAGTGTAATTAATCAAGTGAATAGTCCAATGTAATATTATGTAATATCCGATGACACAGTGATGTGCCTCAGCTAATTCATAATGTTTTTAATGTTTTAGTGTATATAAATCTACACTATAGTGAGTGAGTTTAGTTTTACCCCGCCCGTATCAATATTCCAGCTTTATGGCGGCGGTCTGTAAATAATCGAGTCTGGACAAGTGAGTGAGTGAGTGAGTTTGATTTTACGCCGCTTTTAGCAATATTCCAGCAATATCATGGCGGGGGACACCAGAAATGGGCTTCACATATTGTAACCCATGTGGGGAATCGAACCCGGGCCTTCGGCGTGACGAGCGAACGCTTTACCCACTAGGCTACCCCACCGCCCCAGTCAGGAAAAGACAATCCAGTGATCAACAGCATGAGCACCGAGCTACGCAACTGGGATACGATGACATGTGTCAACCAAGTCAGCGAGCCTGACCACCCGGTTCCGTTAGTCGCATAGGTTACTGGAGATCAATTCTAACCCGGATCTTCACGGGTCCCTACACGATAACATATCCATTCTAAATAATAATATGAACGAACGGTTTTCGTATATGCGTTTAATCATATTGAATACAATATATTAAATCTGCTCCAATACGATTCTATAGCTTCGCTGAATAACGATGCACGCGTTGCGAGCATGTATAATCTATAATGATTCAAGCGAATAAGCCAATGAAATATGACCAGCAATTGCCTTCATTTGCTGTTCATTTTAATCAGAATTGGTTGCTTGGTCTGATATCCCCACAGGTATTGAGAAAAGAAGCATCAGAGAGTCATGGCAGTCAACATCCCAGGACTAGTGGCTGTGTTGGTGTTCTACGTCATCATTCTCCTCGTCGGCATCGTTGCTGGAAGAAAGAAACGGAGCACAAATGACTTCATTTTGGCAGGACGTAGTATGAATTCGGTGGTGTCTGTGTTCTCCATAACAGGTAAAATAATTATTTTGACGACTGAAGAATTTGCCTTTTAAGATAATTGACTATTGACTTCACGTGTATTTCTTCTAGTGAAAAATGACCTGCATCTTTTCGTTACCACCACCTAGTATCACGGCTATTTCATAGTAATGCAACCGACGGAGATCCGGGTTGAATATTGATCTTCAGTAACCCTTGCTTGTCGTAAGAGGCGACTAACGGGATCGGGGGGTCAGGCTCGCTGACTTGGTTGACATATGTCATCGTATCCCAGCTGCGTAGGTCGATACGCATAGTGTTGATCACCGGATTGTGTGGTTCACACTCAATCATTTACAGACCATATAGCTGGAATATTGCTGAGTGCGGCGTTAAACAACAGACAAAACACGTGTTAGGAATTCATTTACAAATGGTTATTTCAAAGTTGGAATCGAACAGTGTTGTCCGCTTTTAGTTGATCTTTGTGATTATGGAAATGGTAATGAATTCACCATAGTAAATATAATTAACTACATTGGGGGGACCGAGCTATTTCCATGTTTACACAAAAACTAACCATTTCGACTGGATCAGAAGCATCTAGTCACGAATCGTCTATAATATGTGATTATACGAGCAGGTAGCGGAAATATGAACTTATCTTGCCCAATCGGTGACTCCCCTCCCAAACACTTGCTTAACCAAGTCAATTGTTTACTTCAGTGAGTGAGTTTAGTTTTACGCCGCTTTTCTTAGCAATATTCCAGCAATATCACGGTGGGGGGACACCAGAAATGTTCTTTACACATTGTACCCATGTCCCGAATCGAACCCTGGTCTTCGGCGTGACAAGCGGACGCTTGAACCATTAGGCTAACCCAAAATACGGAATTACATCGGACATAATATCACGTACTTACACTTGAACTGAATGTTGAAAAACAAAACAAAATAAGAAGGACAACTAACTGGTCGATAAGATTAATCAATAGTTCATACAGTGCTGTTCTTGCAAACAAAACATTTTTTTCCTGTGGACATTATGCGATTTGCATGCGCTATTTATAATCTAGTACGATCGCAAAATCGGCAAATTATATTATACAATGAGATAATTATATTATATTAATGTATAATAATATAATTGTACAGTCGTGAATACGGAAACTCCTGAAACGTAAAGCGCCCATTTAGCTATTATTCGGTGGCAATTGTTCTTTTTCCACAAATGTATCGTGAAAATGAAACTAGCGTGTGACTATCTGTATTAAATAGTGGACAGTTATCTGTATTAAATAGTGGACAGTTATCTGTATTAAATAGTGGACAGTTTTTCAGAGAAGTATTGTTATTCACATTATACTACAGATGTAAAACATATAATATACATATAATATTTCAACACAGAATAACGAGTCTCAAATATCCTTAGAAACAGATTGCATGGTACGTAAAAAGTAAAATCGCGGAAACATTATGTGAATGGAAACTTAGTGATGGAACTCGCCTCTCGTACAATATGCATAAGGGGCGGTGGGGTAGCCTAATGGTTAAAGCGTTCGTTCGCCCCGCCGAAGAGCCGGGTTCGATTCCTCATATTGGTGTATATATGTCAAGCCCATTTCTTGTGGCCCGCACCGTGATATTGTTGGAATATTGCTAAAAGCGGCGTAAAGCTAAACTCACTCACTCACAATATGCATAAAAATAGTATGCGTAATTTGTCTGACTCCGCACTGCAGTACACGTCCGACGGTGGCCGGTAAACAAACCAGACAATCAAGTGATTTTTAGAATCATGCCGCCTGTTAACGTCTTTTAATGATTTTGTAAAAACTAGAAACGATACGTGAATCGTGAATTATGGCAGAGAATTTCCTGTTAATATGTGAAAAAATGTGAAATATGACCGCCGCATTAACATGAGAAGCATAGGATGTGCAGTTTATATTTATGTTTAACAACAGGCTTCGGAACAATATGTACTCCTTAAACACTGGGAATCTCTGTGATTCTGCAGCAGGGTCGAGTTGACGTTAAATTGACTTTGGATTCCGCCTTGTCGGTACACGTAGATGTACAGCTACCTCGGTCATCTACCCGTCAAAATATGGATTAGAATTGGTCTTCAGTAACCCTTGCTTGTCGTAAGAGGCGACTAACGGGATCGGGTGGTCAGGCTCGCTGACTTGGCTGACACATGCCATCGTATTCCATTTGCCTGGATCGATGCTCATGATGTTGATCACTGGATTGTCTGACCCAGACTCGGTTATTTACTGACCGCCGCCATATAGCTGGAATATTGCTGAGTGCGGTGTAAAACTAAACTCACTCAACGAGAATTTGCTATTACGTTTTCATTTGGGCAAGGCGAGCAAACGGTAATCGCGCCGCCATTCTGGAAGAGTGGCAAGCGCTTCGAGCTGTTGCAAATCCCAATTACTTTGCTTACTTTAAGCGATTCATGGCTTGTAACGCACCCCTTGCTTCAATGTCCAATGTCAAAGCGTCTCAGTGTCTAGACAAAGGGGATTAACGGTAACCCGTTATTGGGATAGCCTTATTACGACACTGATTAGGGGCTACTTTTTCTGACATGAAATTCGGCCATGTCACATTGTGTGCTTGCACACGAGACGTAAATCAAATGGAAACTCCCATTATGTCAATTTTGATATAAACTCAATATATAGTATATGATAATTAGAGATGTTGCATATCGATAACACAGATGCCAGTGATTGCCTGATCTGCACTATTCTCATACTCAACTTGTAGCTATTAATTTTATAGTAGTCATATTCCGATTGTAATGCTTGTGTTCTGGTCCGTGAAACATGGGAGACATCTTGCAAACTGCCAGGATGTTGCGGGCTTATATTGTTTCACGTTTCTATGTGCGGCAAGAGATTAATATTGGTGTATTTCATGGCAGATTGTAATTTCAGTATCTACTGGCAAACAAGGATAAGTTGACCCGGCGCAGAGAACGCGTTAACAAGAAGTAGGCGGTGCACGGCAATGAACAAACCCATTTGGTTTGTGAAAGGTAGAGCAGATGTAGGCTAGTGTGCGTGCATTGCATGACAATGAAATTGATTCCGTGCGTAGCTGCACACGCCTTGCTCATTGCTAACAATGGCAAGCGCCAGTGGGCGGAACTCATACATGCTAATACGGTCCATTTATCAGGTCGGTGCTCAACTTATCCTTGTTTGCCAGTACGTCATATGCTCCGGCATGAATATCGACTATTATTACTCGCCCGTGGAAGATACTGCATTATCTTACCTCGCACATAAATGTCGCTTTCTGATTGGCTAAGTGCTCTTCTATTATTTTCAATGTACCCCGCTTACAAGCGAGTAACATTTCAATGTACCCCGCTGTCAATGGCAACACATTTGGTACTTCGTGGTAGTAATTCTTTATCTCGAATTACATCTTATCATGTAATGATGTACGGAAATTACCGATGTTTTCGAATGCAAATCGATGGAAGGGAGACTCTAAATCTGTTTTTCTTGTCAGCAAAATCTAGCGATGGCTACAAAAAGATCTGTACCCGTGCTTCAAAACAATTCAACCTTAACGTTAAGGTGTTCGGTAAGATAAATACGTTGTTCACTGGTCCCTCGGGGCCCATGGGTTGATGTACAATCAATTTTTGTTTATGTTCCCCTCGCTCAGGGAACATAAACAAACATAGAGGGTACATCAACCCATGCCCCCCTCGTGACCTGTGAACAAGTTATAATGTAATATTTTTACGGCAATATTACAGTAGTGTAATACCACTAGACGTATGACGTCATAATAGTTACAGTTATGACGTCACAATGCTAATACCTCTTGTCACAATGGTATTGGACCTTGCTTGACTCGTAGAAAGCTGAGAGTCATCACACTTCGTAGGCAGTTGCTATCAGTTTATGTTGGAGAGTAATAAACAGAATACTAAACTCGCTTCCGTGAAATACCATTTTCATTAACCTCGTGAAAGATTTAGCATCAAACTCGCTTTTGCTCGTTTGATACCAAATCATTAACTCGTTTAAGAAAAATGGTACTATACGGAAGGTCGTTTAGTATCCTCTATATATTAATGGACTTTCACAAACCTTGATGTAGATGCAGACACAAACATGTATGTGTGTGTGCGTGTGTGCGTGTGTGCGTGTGTGCGTGTGTGCGTGTGTGTTTAAGGACTGACTCCCGGTTTACTTTTTAGCTTCAGCTTGGGAATCAACACGCAACACAGTCCAGCGATAGTTGTTTTAACTTGCAGCCCCGTGAAAATTCGGGTTAGAATTGATCTTCAGCACCCCATGCATGTCGTAAGAGGCAACCAACGGGTCGGGTGGTCAGGCTTGCTGACTTGGACGACATATGTCATCGTATCCCAGCTGCGTAGATCGATGTTCATACTGTTGATCACTGGATTGTCTGGTCTAGACTCGATTATATACAGACCGCCGCCATATAGCTAGAATATTGCTGCGTGCGGCGTAAAACTAAACTCACTCACTCACTTTAACTTGCAGCGACAGTTGTTGGAGGTGCATTTATCAACGGAACTGCCGAATCGATGGCGTCCCTGGGATTAGCATGGTCATTGGTGCCTCCTGGATTCTTCTTGGGAGCATTAATTGGTAAGGAAAAATGTGAACAGTTCGTTGTTTAGGACAGCCATTCTTTATGTGTTGTTTTACGTGAGTTTACGTGTCAACATATTGCCAGAGAAATACAATGTGTCATCAGAACAGTTTACAGTGATTTATTTCATGCGCTAATCACAACTTACTTTTGAAAATGTCACGCCGGAACTCTTTCGGGGAATTCAAATATATCTGTTCCGAACTCGCATACGGACAGATTCTATAAATTGGTGAATTCTTAACAAAACTTTACACCAACGCGCAGCTGTTCACGTGCACGATATTTGCAGATGCGTTTCAGCAATTTCATGCATGATCCTCATGCAATTCATTTGCATAAGGTTTGCAAATTCATCTTCGATGTAACCACATATATATACATAACATATAGTGAGTACTTTAAGTGAGTCTAAACTTTTGATGGGTAGTATATTTGTAGAATCTGCATGCTGTAAAGCATAGCACGGGAATCATGTATTTGTCGATTCACTTTGAACATTCGGATATTAAAATTCATTGCATAGAAAAATACATAATTTACCAGTACCTAGAAAGTCAGAATTTGACAATAAATCTGATTTAGAACGCGGGGAATCATTACTTTTGGAAAAAAATATACTGCTCATGATGCAGGCGGAATCGTTGGACTTTTAGAAGAGATATAGTATAATTACGGGAATAGTTTATGCGGCTTTACTGTAAAGATCTCGATGATACTTTGTTTGTTTTTTAACGTCGCACTCAGCAATAATCCAGCTTTATGGCGGCGGTCTGTTAATAGTCGAACCTGGACCAGACAATCCAGTGACCATCGATCAACGCATTTGGGATATAATGACATGTGTCAACCAAATCAGCGAGCCTGACCACCCGATCCCGTTAGTGGCCTCTTACGACAAGCATGGGTTGGTGAAGATCAATCCTAACCCGGATCTTCACGGTTTCTCCATGACGTAATTGTTTGTAAAGCTGTTTTATTGTTCTTTCTTTCATTCAGTTGCATTCGTGTACGCACCGAAGTTACACAGGTTGGGTTGTGTTACAATGCTAGACCCCTTGCAAAAGAAGTACGGCAAGTTTGTGGGAGGACTGTTGTTCTTCCCTGAGCTGATGGGGGACCTGTTTTGGGCAGCCGCCATACTTGCAGCGTTGGGTAAGCAATGCATGACAGAACCGATTTTCTTTTGTCTTTTATTTGTAGCACAAGTGAAGAAGATATCTGAATTATTTCCGCTTTGTACAATTGCAATGTTTCATTATTTTTCTGTTTTCTCTGTGATGAAAAGCTGAAAGAGTTTTGTATTGTTTGTTGTATAACGCCGCACTCAGCAATATCCCAGCCATATGGCGGCGGTCTGTAAATAAGTGAGTCGGGACCAGACAATCCATGCAGTGGTCAACAGACATGAATGGCGTATGGAATTAAGCAGTATAGCAAAGTCTTCAAAGCTCTGTATCATTGTGCAAAGTAAAATAGTGACAGAGTTTAGGTTTACTCCGCTTTTAGCAATATTCCAGCGATATGGGACACCAGAAATGGGCTTTTCACACACTATACCCACTGTAGGGAATCGAAGCCAGGGCGTCAGCGTGACGAGCGAACGCTTTAACCACTCGGGTACCCCATCCTCCCATAAGGTAGAGGAAGAATTTCTGCAGCACAGACATGCCACCTTAATTCCTGGATGTCAGTCTGGATTTCCAACCAGTAAGAAACATAGTTTTCCTATGGACTAAGGTAAGGCTAAACCGAGTGAACTACCACAGCCTGTCACAGACCGCCTACAGAGTGTAAAGAACAGTGCAGCGCAACTCATTACTCGCACACGGAAACGCGGCCATATCACGCCGATCCTGAAGATCAGTGGTTTACGGTGTCAGTACAAGTTCTTCTTGTACGTGTACAACACTGCTCCTACATATCTCAAGGAGCTCGTCACTCCGTGTGAGCCAGCGCGACCTCTTCGATCACAATCTGGATCTCTGATCACTGTGCCCAAAACACTAACTGTAATGCATTGACAGATGCTTCAACCAGACTGAAGCAACACTGTGGAATGATCTACCATCTACCCTTATCTTATGACATTTTTAAGAAGCACGTATAAACCCATCTCTTTAAATCATCCTACACTCAGTAGCACTTTTACTCTTTCTGTATAGTACCTTAGAGTGTTTTTGTTCCTTAATCATATAGGGAACTATAAAATGTTTGTATATTATTAATGCATTTTAATGGATTTGTATAACCACCATAAAGCTTGATTTGCTGATAGCACCTATAGGGAAATAAATCACGGTTAAGTTGATTTTTTACGGTTTAGTCACATGATAATTTCTTGGATTACTTTTTTTTGTCAAGCGATTTTATTTCTGATTTCGTTTTGTTTTCTTCTGAATTTTCATTTTAAAGTCCATTGGATCCGTAAACTAAGACAGCAAGTGTAAGATCTTAGGTTGTTGTTATTCCATGTGGATTAATATTATACGTACTCCTTCCTAGTGTACAACTTACTTGGCCCTGAAAAACGTAAAATTAGTCATCTGTCACACACCCCAAGCACCAACCCTCACACATCCAGCAAGCTGGTTGTTCTTATCGGACCCTATACCCTATCTTACGTCGAAGTCGTTGTTTCTCTTCTACCATCACATATTCTAGTTCCAAAGGTCCAAATGAACGAATCTGACGTTCTATATATACGTACTGACGCAAAGAGTTTGCACCAGGAATACATCTATGGCTCTGTTTGTCAGGTTCAACGATGGCGATCTTGCTGGACGTGCAGTCCTGGATCATGATTCTAGTGTCGGGTATGGTTGCGGCGGTGTATACGTGTGTCGGGGGTCTCCAATCCGTGGCATACACGGACATCTTGCAGCTCGTCTTCATCGTCATTGGTCTAGTATGTCTTTCATGTTTGTTGTTAAACGCCGCACTCGGCAATATTCCAGCTATATGGCGGCGGTCTGTATGTAGTCGAGTCTGGACCAGACAATCCAGTGATTATCAACATGAGCATCGATCTGTGCAGTTGGGATCCGATGCCATGTGTCAACCTAGTCAGCGAGCCTGACCACCCGATCCCGTTAGTCGCCTCTTACGACCAGTATGGGTTACTGAAGATCAATATTCAAACCCGGACCTTCACGGGTCTCATTGACACCGTATCACTGCTAGCGACACTATACTGGTGGCAGTGTTCAGCACAGTAATGAACCACCGTCCACAGGAATGAATCCGCCAGTGACTGTGGCCGTGGCCTAATGCTTCGGGAAACTCTAGACTGCATTTATTATGCACAATTTATAGGTGCCAAAGTTAAAGGAGCAATTCAGTAAAACACAGGATAAACTCAAATGATCTGTAGTGGTCCCTTGTTCATATAACTTCCCTGAAGCCCGTGTTAAGTCTATGGACTTCTATCTGGCAATTATTTGATCCCAAGCCCCATCCGATCCCCATATACAAAACACAAGCACATGATATAAATATAAATCAGATATTTGTGCTGGTCTCCTTTTTACACACCCGTGAAGATCCGGGTTAGAATTGGTCTTCGGTAACCCATGCTTGTCATAAGAGGTGACTAACGGGATCGGGCGGCCAGGCTCGCTGACTTGGTTGACACATGTCATTGTATCCCAATTGCGATTCTCATAACAATGATCACTGGATTGACTTTTCCAGACTCGATTATTTACAGACCCCCGCCATATAGCTGGAATATAGTGCGGCGTTAAACAACAAACCAACCAACCAACCAGCCTGTTTACACCCACCCACACGCTAATGTACCATTAAGGAGTTGTGGCGAGCATAAATATGTACATAAGTGGACTCTGTGTTATATATGATATTTAAAATATATGTATTTTGCACTGTATTGACATAATTTATATATTTGACATTTCAGGTTGTGAGCTTCCCTTTTGCGATGCAGCACCCGGCTGTAGATTTCAGTAGCATCAGCTCCACGTGGACAGGTCAAGTTCCCGTCAACATGATAGGATCCTACATCGACGTGTGTCTGTTGCTTGTGTTTGGAGCCATACCGTGGCAGGTATTATACCACATGCTAGTTGGACCGGCGTCGGTGGGGTAGTCTTGTTGTTAAAGCGTTCGCTCGTTACGCCGAAGACCCAGGTTCGATTCTCCATATGGGTACAATGTGTAAAGCCCTTTGTTGGTGTCCCCGCCGTGATATTGCTCGAAAATTGCTAAAAGCGGAGTAAAACTAATTTCAGCCAGTCAGCCAGCCATTTGTACCGCTAACACAGCTGTTTAGTAGTCCAGTGGATAAGTGACTCGCTAGTTGGGATTGAAGCTTTAAGGACGTCCGAAACCGACACCTTGAAACCAGGTAAATATTGAAACTGTGATTTCGTCGAGACGAGCAAAACGCTTTCAAGCCACTGACATATCCCCTTTTATATAAAAGATTTTATTTGCTTGTTTTTGGATTTATAAAATGGAATGACTAACGTTTGTTAAAAAGTCGATGGAAGAAAACTGGTTGATAATGACATTGGTCAGACCAGCTGCCTATACTTACCCTAAGTGGAGTGAGTGAGTGAGTGAGTGAGTGAAGTGAGCGAGTATGGTTTTAGCAATTTTCCATCAAATATCGTTGGGTGACATCAGAAATGGGCGTCACACTTTTTACCCTTGTGGGAATCGAACCCGGGTCTTCAGCGTGACAAACGGACGCTTTAACCTCTAGGCTACCCGCAGCGTCCCCGACCAGTTGGATGGAAAGTCGGTCAGTATGACTTGATGACATGTCACCGTGTCCGCAATGTGTGGAATGTACTCATGATATGTAGACTTGTCAAGACTTAATTATTTAAAGGATCATAAAGGTGGGATATTGCTGAGTGTGACGTTACAAAACAAACAACGCATATGTACTTGACGATGCTAGTATAAAAATCCCTGGTATAAATTACTATCTGTTAACATAAATCCTCATTAAAATATCAGTTGTTTTCCAAAATGTATATATTTGGACAGTTCATGAAATCCAAACTAAATTGACATGGCAAACATGGCAATGATTTACGGTCAACACGTAGCATGGGTGCCCCCTCTCACACCGACGAACGGTCAACACGTAGCATGGGTGGCCCCTCTCAAACCGACGAACGGTCAACACGTAGCATGGGTGCCCCCTCTCACACCGACTAACAGTCAACACGTAGCATGGGTGCCCCCTCTCACACCGACTAACGGTCAACACGTAGCATGGGTGCCCCTCTCTCACTGTGAACAGTCAACACGTAGCATGGACCCCTCTCAAACCGACGAACGGTGTAGCACGTAGCATGGGTGCCCCTCTCACACCGACTAACAGTCAACACGTAGCATGGGTGCCCCAGCTCACACCGACTTACGGTGAACACGTAGCATGGGTGCCCCCTCTCACACCGACTAACAGTCAACACGTACCATGGGTGCCCCCTCTCACACCGACGAACGGTGAACACGTAGCATGGGTGCCCCCTCTCACACCGACGAACGGTCAACACGTAGCATGGGTGCCCCCTCTCACACCGACGAACGGTGAACACGTAGCATGGGTGCCCCCTCTCAAACCGACGAACGGTGAACACGAAGCATAGGTGTCCCGGCTCACACCGACTAACGGTCAACACGTAGCATAGGTGTGCCAGGACACACCGACTAATGATCAACATGTAGTATAGGTGTCTCAGCAAACACAGACTAACGGTAAACGTGTAGCATAGGTGTCCCGGCTCTCACCGACAAATGGTCAACCCGTAGCATAGGTGTCACAACTCACACCGACTAATGGTCAACATGTAGCATCGGTGTCACAGCTCACACCGACTAATGGTCAACATGTAGCATAGGTGTCACAGCTCACACCAACTAATGATCAACACGTGGCATAGGTGTCACAGCTCACAGCGACTAATGGTAAACATGTAAGATAGGTGTCCCAGCAAACACCGACTTATGGTCAACATGTAGCATAGGTGTCCCGGCTCACACCAACTAACGGTTAACACTTACATTTTTATTTGTTTGTTGTTTAACGCCGCACTCAGCCATATCCCAGCTCTATGTCGGCGGTTTGTAAATGGTATGGACTACACAATCCAGTGATGATCGAGCATTGATCTACGCAATTGGAATACGATGACATGTGTCAACCACCCGATCCCGTTAGTCGCCTCTAAAGACAAGCATTGGTTGCTAAAGACCAATTCTAACCCGGATCTTCACGGGATTAACAGTTACAGTGTACTAAACTCGATGTTACGTCGTGATTGTCACAAACATTCTAATAAACTCACTGATTCCATCATGATGTAGGTATCTTTCTATCGTTCCTGTTCTAAAAGATACTACATAAACATTTTCTCGAAATGTGTCCAAATATTTTCCAACTTCTTCATTGATACAGTCGAATATTATTCAAACCGGTGTCAAACCCGACTTTCACAATCACCTTTACAGGCTTTCTACCAACGAGTGCTGGCATGCAGAACAGTCCAAGTGGCCCGGGTGTCCATTGCTTTAGCATCACTTCTAGCACTAGTGCTTGGGGTTCCTCCTCTCTTAATGGGCGCCATTGGAGCAGCTACAGGTATCACTCACTCACTCACTCACTCACTCACTCACTCACTCACTCACCTCACTCACCTCCACCACTCACTCACTCACTCTCACTCCTCTCACTCACTCACTCACCCACTCACTCACTCACTCACTCACTCACTCACTCACTCACTCTTATTCACTCACAGGTCTTAGATGTCTAGTTATTCAAGTGAATTTGTGAAACAGTTTGATCTTTTAACAAATGCCTGTTATGAGAAGACATCAACAGATTAACTTATATAGGTGTTTTCTGAATTGAGAAGATGTTTTCTCTGATATGTTTAGGCCTGTTTCATGAAGATTCACAAGATCACGCCAGGGCAACAAACGAGGACATAGAGAGTAGGAGAACCATGGTGATCAACAAGATCAGCTATATTTCGTGGCTTACATAAAAATAGACAACAATGGGCAGCCATTTTTAATGTTCGATGCTATGTTATTCCAGATTGGAACCAGACATCGTATGAAGGGGCGATTCCTCTCTCTCCTGAGATGCAAAGTTCCATCCTGCCTCTCGTCCTGAATTACCTGTGTCCACTTCCGGTTTCCATGGTCGGTCTCGGGGCAATTTCTGCTGCAGTCATGTCGTCTGCTGACTCCGTGAACCTGGCCGCGTCGTCCGTAGCGGCAAAGAATATTTATAATGATATATTTCGACCAAAAGTAAGTGTAGCGTAATTAAGCTAATAGATTTAGGACGTAAGGAGACCTATCCTTGGCTTCAACCGCCGCAACACAGTTGGAACATTGCCCCCAGACGACGTAACATCAGAACCACAAAAGGAAAACGTTGGGAATTACTTTATTTGATTTGAAAATATTCAGTGAAGACTATGAACCTCGCTAAGCTCACCTCACATAAATCCATTCTAAAACTGAACCTGACAGGACTCGATAAGCCTTCGTATACAGGTAAAATGGGTACAATGTCTGAAGCCCATTTTTGATATTGCTGGAATATTGCTAAAAGCGATATATGGAGAATTGGAACCCTGGTTAAAAAAAGAATTAATTAAAAAAATAATGTGGGTGTCCGCGCCGTGATATTGCTGGAATATTGCTTAAAGCGGCGCAGAATTAAACTCACTCACTCACTCATACACAGGTAATACAAGAAATTGTTCAGGTCCTATGTGCGGTTCGTTTGAATACGGATCACAAATAGATTATCAGTCCATTCTGTAGCAAACGAAAGAAGATCTGGCCTGAGATTTCTCAACCCGCCTCCACCTAGCCTGACTCATAGTTTCTGTCAAACCATCTGGAGGAGGAGGAGGATGTAGGCCTCGTATACGCTGAGATGTCACTGTAACATTCCAGACGATGAGTCTGATAGTAGCGACGTTGTCTCTGAACATGTCGGACCCGTGAAGATCCGGGTTAGAATTGATCTTCAGTAACCCATGCTTGTCGTAAAAGGCGACCGGACGGTCAGGCTCGCTGACTAGGTTGACACATGTTATCGTATCCCAATTGCGTAGTTCGATGCTTATGATGTTGGTCACTGGAATGGATTGTCTGGTTCAGACTCCATTATTTACAGACCGCCGCCACATAGCTGGAATATTGCTGGGTGCGACGTAAAACTAAACTCACTCACTCACGTGTTCTTTGTCTCATGATCATAAAATTGAGCAAAAAACTTATATATGTTCTTCCATGTCATTTCAGGCCAGCGATCGAGAGGTTTTGTGGGTCATGAGAATCAGCAGTCTTATCTTTGCTGGTGGTGCTTGTGCTTTAGCTATTGTCAGCAAAAGCGTCTTCGGTCTTTTCGTCGCGTGTGGTGACCTGATATATGTAATTCAGTTCCCCCAGTTCACATGCGCTCTATGGGCGAGTTGGGCAAACGGCTATGGATCAGTAGTTGGTTTCATCGTGGCTTTGATATTGAGGATAGGAGCAGGGGAGCCGTTACTGAACTTTCAACCTTTCATTCGTTTCCCACTTTATGACGAAGTGTACGGGCAGCTATTTCCCTTCAGAACACTCATCGCCATCATCAGCTTTGTTACAATATTGAGCATATCCGCTGCCACCAATTTACTGTTTAAGAATCGGATTCTGCCGGCCAGTCTTGACGTCTTGAACCCTTCAGGACGACATACCAAAGTGGACACTAATACCCCGACAAGCACAGAAAAGAATGGAATGAAGTCTCCCAGCTCAGAGGAAATTGCCTTATAAAACCTCTTACATATGGTGTCAGTGGATGTATTTATATTTTAACCGCTTGTAAAGTCTATGAAAGGTGTTCCCACGAACAGGACGCCAAATATCTTATTAATAAATCGCGATAGTAAAGGAGTGAATGTATGGATCTGTAGTGAACCTAATGTAAACAATATCCATTTACATGTAATAGTCACAGGCACGGTGCCCTGTCGTTACACATCAGTCTAAGTCCTAAATCAGGTCCCTTTTACACATACTGGACCAGAAGATCGTAGACTGACATTTACATGACCATAGACTCAATACGAAGACCCGCAGATTGGCATTTACATGACCCCACACATTGAATCAGAAGGCTCGTAGATAGACATTTACATGACCACACACTGAACCAGGAGGTCCGTATATTGACATTTACATGACCACACATTGAATCAGAAGGCTCGTAGATAGACATTTACATGACCACACACTGAACCAGGAGGCCCATAGAATGACATTTACATGACCACACACTGAACCAGGAGGCCAATAGAATGACATTTTCATGACCACACACTGAACCAGGAGGCCCATACATTGACATTTACATGTACCACACACTGAACCAGGAGGCCCATACATTGACATTTACATGTACCACACACTGAACCAGGAGGCCTATATATTGACATTTACATGACCACACACTGAACCAGGAGGTCCGTATATTGACAGTTACATGACCACACTTTGAATCAGAAGGCTCGTAGATAGACATTTACATGACCACACACTGAACCAGGAGGCCCATAGAATGACATTTACATGACCACACACTGAACCAGGAGGCCCATAGAATGACATTTTCATGACCACACACTGAACCAGGAGGCCCATACATTGACATTTACATGTACCACACACTGAACCACACATTGACATTTACATGACCACACACTGAACCAGGAGGCCCATACATTGACATTTACATGTACCACACACTGAACCAGGAGGCCCATTTATTGACATTTACATGTACCACACACTGAACCAGGAGGTCCGTATATTGACATTTACATGTACCACACACTGAACCAGGAGGCCCATACATTGGCATTTACATGTACCACACACTGAACCAGGAGGCCCATACATTGACATTTACATGACCACACACTGAACCATGAGGTCCGTATATTGACATTTACATGTACCACACACTGAACCAGGAGGCCCATACATTGGCATTTACATGACCACACACTGAACCAGGAGGCCCATAGAATGACATTTTCATGACCACACACTGAACCAGGAGGCCCATAGAATGACATTTACATGACCACACATTGAACCAGGTGGCCCATAGAATGACATTTTCATGACTACACACTGAACCAGGAGGCCCATACATTGACATTTACATGTACCACACACTGAACCAGGAGGCCCATACATTGACATTTACATGTACCACACACTGAACCAGGAGGTCCGTATATTGACATTTACATGTACCACACACTGAACCAGGAGGCCCATAGATTGACATTTACATGTACCACACACTGAACCAGGAGGCCCATACATTGACATTTACATGCACCACACATTGAACCAGGAGGCCAATACATTGACATTTTCATGACTACACACTGAACCAGGAGGTCCATACATTGACATTAACATGTACCACACACTGAAACCAGGAGGCCCATAGAATGACATTTTCATGACCACACACTGAACCAGGAGGCCTATATATTGACATTTACATGTAACCCACACTGAACCAGGAGGCCTATATATTGACATTTACATTAACACACACTTACCCCGTGTATTGGCATTTACATGTACAACACACTGAACCAGGAGGCCCATAGAATGATATTTACATGTACCACATGTTGAACCAGGAGGACCGTAGATTGACATGAACCACATATTGAACCAGGAGGACAGTAGATTGACATGTACCACATATGGAACCAGGAGGACAGTAGATTGACATGTACCACACATTGAACCAGGAGGACCATAGATTGATATGTACCACACCTCGAATCAGGAGGACCGTAGATTGACATGTACCACACCTCGAATCAGGGAGGACCGTAGATTGACATGTACCACACATTGAACCAGGAGGACCGTAGATTGACATGTACCACATATTGAATCAGGAGGACCATAGATTGATATGTACCACATATTGAACCAGGAGGACCGTAAATTGACATGTACCACCACATATTGAACCAGGAGGGACCGTAGATAGACATTTACATGACCACACACTGAACCAGGAGGCCCATAGAATGACATTTACATGACCACACACTGAACCAGGAGGCCAATAGAATGACATTTTCATGACCACACACTGAACCAGGAGGCCCATGCATTGACATTTACATGTACCACACACTGAACCAGGAGGCCCATACATTGACATTTACATGTACCACACACTGAACCAGGAGGCCTATATATTGACATTTACATGACCACACACTGAACCAGGAGGTCCGTATATTGACAGTTACATGACCACACTTTGAATCAGAAGGCTCGTAGATAGACATTTACATGACCACACACTGAACCAGGAGGCCCATAGAATGACATTTACATGACCACACACTGAACCAGGAGGCCCATAGAATGACATTTTCATGACCACACACTGAACCAGGAGGCCCATACATTGACATTTACATGTACCACACACTGAACCTGGAGGCCCATACATTGACATTTACATGTACCACACACTGAACCAGGAGGCCCATACATTGACATTTACATGTACCACACACTGAACCAGGAGGCCCATTTATTGACATTTACATGACCACACACTGAACCAGGAGGTCCGTATATTGACATTTACATGTACCACACACTGAACCAGGAGGCCCATACATTGGCATTTACATGTACCACACACTGAACCAGGAGGCCCATACATTGACATTTACATGACCACACACTGAACCATGAGGTCCGTATATTGACATTTACATGTACCACACACTGAACCAGGAGGCCCATACATTGGCATTTTCATGACCACACACTGAACCAGGAGGCCCATAGAATGACATTTACATGACCACACACTGAACCAGGAGGCCCATAGAATGACATTTACATGACCACACATTGAACCAGGTGGCCCATAGAATGACATTTTCATGACTACACACTGAACCAGGAGGCCCATACATTGACATTTACATGTACCACACACTGAACCAGGAGGCCCATACATTGACATTTACATGTACCACACACTGAACCAGGAGGTCCGTATATTGACATTTACATGTACCACACACTGAACCAGGAGGCCCATAGATTGACATTTACATGACCACACACTGAACCAGGAGGCCCATAGAATGACATTTTCATGACCACACACTGAACAAGGAGGCCCATAGAATGACATTTTCATGACCACACACTGAACCTGGAGGTCCATACATTGACATTTACATGTACCACACACTGAACCAGGAGGCCCATACATTGACATTCACATGTACCACACACTGAACCTGGAGGTCCGTATATTGACATTTACATGTACCACACACTGAACCAGGAGGCCCATACATTGACATTTACATGTACCACACACTGAACCAGGAGTCCCATAGATTGACATTTACATGTACCACACACTGAACCAGGAGGCCCATACATTGACATTTACATGCACCACACATTGAACCAGGAGGCCAATACATTGACATTTTCATGACTACACACTGAACCAGGAGGCCCATACATTGACATTAACATGTACCACACACTGAACCAGGAGGCCCATAGAATGACATTTTCATGACCACACACTGAACCAGGAGGCCTATATATTGACATTTACATGTAACCCACACTGAACCAGGAGGCCTATATATTGACATTTACATTAACACACACTTACCCGTGTATTGGCATTTACATGTACAACACACTGAACCAGGAGGCCCATAGAATGATATTTACATGTACCACATGTTGAACCAGGAGGACCGTAGATTGACATGAACCACATATTGAACCAGGAGGACAGTAGATTGACATGTACCACATATGGAACCAGGAGGACAGTAGATTGACATGTACCACACATTGAACCAGGAGGACCATAGATTGACATGTACCACACCTCGAATCAGGAGGACCGTAGATTGACATGTACCACACCTCGAATCAGGAGGACCGTAGATTGACATGTACCACACATTGAACCAGGAGGACCGTAGATTGACATGTACCACATATTGAATCAGGAGGACCATAGATTGATATGTACCACATATTGAACCAGGAGGACCGTAGATTGACATGTACCACATATTGAATCAGGAGGACCGTAGAATGACATGTACCACACCTCGAACCGAAGGACCGTACATTGACATGTACCACATATTGAACCAGGAGGACCGTAGATTGACATGTACCACATATTGAACCAGGAGGACCGTAGATTGACATGTACCACATGTTGAACCAGGAGGACCATAGATTGACATGTACCACATATTGAATCAGGAGGACCATAGATTGATATGTACCACATATTGAACCAGGAGGACAGTGGATTGACATGTACCACACCTCGAACCGAAGGACCGTACATTGACATGTACCACATATTGAATCAGGAGGACAGTAAATTGACATGTACCACACATTGAACCAGGAGGACAGTAGATTGACATGTACCACATATTGAACCAGGAGGACAGTAGATTGACATGTACCACATCAGGAGGACTGTAGATTGACATTTACCACACATTGAACCAGGAGGACCGTAGATTGACATGTACCACACATTGAACCAGGAGGACCGTAGATTGACATGTACCACATATTGAACCAGGAGGACCGTAGATTGACATGTACCACATATTGAACCAGGAGGACCGTAGATTGACATGTACCACATATTGAATCAGGAGGACCATAGATTGATATGTACCACATATTGAACCAGGAGGACTGTA